CCCCAAAACCCCAAAACCCCAAAACCCCAAAACCCCTAAAGTTAATAATATATTTGAAACTGATATGGGAATACTAGAAAGCCTGAAAAAGCCGAGAGTTCTCATAACCACCCTAGTATGGTTCTTCTCTGTCATCATCTGTGTTATTTGACTATCTCTCTTACGAGGCCAGGTCTCTTTGATAATAACTTCCTTACTAATGTCGGCTGCTACTACTGTTTGGGTGTTTTGAAGGTATGCTTCTAAACATAAATTTCCTAAAAGTGCCTATGGGAATATTGGGTTGACATCTTTCTTCAGTCTTGCTTCCATAGGAATCCTTGCTACTGATGTATCATTCACTTTATACCATGAACACCAAGGTGACATAAAGGCACAAAAGAGACATCATAATTTAATGGTAATATTCTGGAATATCCTATACTGGGGAAACATTACTTGAGGAACAATTTTGAACAGGTTCTTCCAAAAATACTGGAGATGTGGCCAATTCACATTGTTTAGACGCACATTAGAAGCTTTAAGATTGATGTTAATTGATATAATCGCCTTTGGAATTCTGCTAGGGTTGTGTATCGGCTTGGTTTTCGCAGTTTTTGGGTCTGATGGCATCATTGGGTTAAAGACAGCCTTTATCATGCTGAATCATGTTTACGGAATGCTCATTCTCACCTGGCTCCTTGGATACGGATTATTTCATTTCCCAATATACATATTTAGCAAATCTTTCAGGAAGTTTACCTTCTACAAAGATGTATCTAAGTGCCCAAGCATTCATGAAGCTTTCAGAGAGAGTCAGGTTGAACTCTACAAGCACTGAAATGCTTGTCGAAATGCCATAAAGCTAATTAGAAGCTGAGACTTAAATATCAAAATGAAACATCAAATTGATATTCTTGAGGAAAGTATTCCAGATAAATATGATGACGGAATTGCCATAACAGAAAATGATAATATTTCTGAATTTGAGATCAATGATAATATGGCTGTGAACAACAGGACTCTTGGCAGGTGTAGGTTCAAACTTATGACAGCTTATTATCAGTACAAAAGAAAGAAAGCTCGATGGATTTCTACTGCAGAGCGTACCTGTTCCAACATGCTTTCTCTGGAAGATTGCAATGAAATATACATCCAGAGGAATAAATCTAGCATTGTAGACTATGTCAAGGAAATTGTAAGAAAAGTTAAGAAAAGCACTCAACCAAGGGATGACATATATAACGAAAGTCAAGAAGAAAATCAAGAATTTGTTCCAAAAATATTCCCTAAACCCCAAAGTCCTATCAGATGATGGACTATCAGAGCATTGAGTGTAATCATCGGAATCTACTGTTTAATCATTGTCGTAACTCAATGATTCCTCCTGTTTAAGCCTGAATATACTCTGGTGTATCACCTGATTCGTAACACGAAGATATTTGTTCTGGATGTAATTTTGACTCTCTTTTTCTTAATCTCAATGATTGGCATATCTTTATTTAGTTTATTCACAGTAAATTTCAGTGACTTTTTCCAATTAGTCCCTAAGCATACAGATTGTATCACAATGTCATTGATCATATCAATCTGTAGTAAGCTAGCGAATGTATTGTGATTTAATTTCATGACTCTCTTGATCCTACATGAGAGAATAAATGATGTGAACAATAACATATTCGGGACAGGATTTGCTACATTTTATACTGCCCTGACGGAGGTACCCTTCTTTGGAGATTACTACAACTACATTCTTCCCTTCTTAATTCTAGTCGTAGGAGTTCTTACTCTCCTGAAGTTTCATACTAAGATGAAGAAGATTACTAGAGGTATCAAGAACAAGACTCGAGACAAAGACGAGAGCCAACAAAACTGTAAGCCGTCGTTATTAACCTTGATTAATATCTCATAGTAGACAGAAGTCTCATGAACAAGAAGAATAAAGATAAAGAAAATGAAGAGATAACAGAAAAGAATCTTATACGAGGCCAAGAACTTATCATAAAACATATCAAAAAGAAAAATAAATTAGAGAAAAAGAGGGTAAGGCTGATTCTTACATAATTTTACCGCTTCTAGCTAGCTGAGGAAGAGAGAATTAGAAAACATGAAGAATACAAAGCAGAAAGAATGAGAGATGAGCTCGAGTATCAGTCAAAGAGGAGAGGATCTCCATGAAAGCATGAAAATAGCGTCTCGAAGACTCTTAAGAAGCAATCAACTCCCAGATCCACCGGAAAGAGCGCCAACAGTGGTGTAGATATTAGCCATTTCCTCAGAAAGGATAAGAAATAGTATTTCAACTGAGATTATTGAACTTGGGGTTTTGGGGTTTTGGGGTTTTGGGGTTTTGGGG